TAAGAGAGAGAGAGAGAGAGAGAGAGAGAGAGAGAGAGAGAGAGAGAGAGAGAGAGAGAGAGAGACAGAAACAAGAGACAAGGACAACAAAAGCCAGTGACACTATGATAAGGGTCTCGTAATATTTGTTCGCTGACTCATGTTTCAGTAGTAATAAAAGTCAAGTTTCCAGGCCCTGATAAGTAGTCTTAGGGTTACGACGTTTGAATTGTCACGTACCCTTCCAGAAAGTAAACTTAGGTGTCTAGTAGTCATGATGTTACGTGACGCGACGATTCGTTGAGCTTTTTATTTTTTTCCGGGGGGTGGGGGGGCACCGACAGGATAAAAGGGGAGGACAAAAATTGGTAGAGACCTGGATATCAAAATCACTTTGTCTGAATAAATTACTCAGTATAAAGGGTGAGATTGGCAAGTTTATAACATGTTATACAAATGTATTTAAATTGGAGATATTTCTTGTTTTAGTGCGCTTTTTTTCATTTTTACCGGGGGGGGGGGGGCGTACTAATGGCCACTTTTATTCTCACGTCAGAACAAAACCCTGATCTAGGACAAAGGGGAAATGAATGGAGCCGAAGGATCCTTCCCAGACGGTTCAATATTCATAATTGCTTTTCGCCTTTCTTATTTTCCTTTTTTATTTATTTCTGTTTCGCTTATTCTGATCCTTCCATCTTTTTGTTTGTCGTGGGTATTTTCTTAGTTGACACGGTGGAACTCTTAATTTCAATCTTTTGTTTGAATTCTACAGGCATATCGATCTCGAAGAAACGGAGCGCCTGCCGACATATAAAATCAAAGTTATTCATCCTCGAGGGAGCGTGTCACACACGCGCTGTCGTCACATTTGGCAGGAACCCACGCGCACTAAGGAACAGCTCAATTCTGCGCGTCGCCACTCACTCTCACATACACAGGTCTACGTCATATTTCGGGAGACCGGGGAGGCTGTTGCTCTTTGTGGCCTGCCTCGCGCGAGAGTCGTGGTATTGATTGATCCACCCGAGGAACGACGGACGGCCTGATTGAAGCTCTTCTCATCGTTTCTAAACAACTTTCTCTCCCTCACACGTACATACACACACGCGCATACAAAATTACAAAATTACAGAACACATACACGACTCAGCGTTTTACTTAAATGTAATTCGGCAAAGTATGTTCCTTTGTGTTGTTTTATTTGTTACGGAAAAGAGTGGGCCTATCATAACATTGATCGACTCACTTGAGCAATAAAGACATATATGTGGGCTGCAGTAGTCCATCTGTGCTGTTATTCAATCGCGCGCACACGGCAGCTCCCCACTCGTTTAGATTTTAGAAGAAGAATAGCCTAGCTGGAGAGAGGGGGGTGCTTTGTTCTTCGCTGTTGACTATTTATTGGTCAAAGAGTAGCCAGATATCGACCGATCGAAACGACCTGTCTGAAGAACAGCGACTTCACTAAGCGGACTGCCAGTGCTTCCTTCACGCACTCGCCCTCGCTCCCTCTCTCACTCACATATTGCCGAGCGTACGCACGAGCGCGCTCACACACACAAAGAGAGGGCGTCCTCGACCTGAATGCAACACCTCGACATCTGCTGCTTGTGGCTGTGATATCAGGAACAGCGACAACTCCAGCTGTTGCGAACTACCAAGTTGTCAACTGCCACTGCTGACAGAGAGAACACACAGTTTTCCAACATACAGAGGGAAGTACACGTCGAGAGGAACCGGGAGAGACAGGAATGTGATTATACACTGAGAGCGACAGAAAGAGACAAAGACTAAAAAAAAAAAAAAAGAATACAAGCTAACTACTAGAGGAGTAATTCGAACGCAGTAAGTAGTACTCTTATAAGACTGATTAATATTTGTTTGCAGATTTACCTAATGTTACTCTTCAGTATAGTAAAAAATGGAAAAAGAATAATACTCTTGTGCTTTATGCCAAATGAGTGGAATCACCTGCGTTTTAAGAAAAGAAATGGCACGCATCCTGCTGCTATTGTTTTGATCAGATCTGTGAACAACGATTCATTCCCGTTGCCTTGCTTTTTAGGATGCTTATCTTAATGTCGATACATGTATTTGATAGCTTATGATTCCCTTGGGAACTCGAGGTTGGTAAGAGGAGCGCAGGGGATGATGTTTATGCGAGTGTAAAGTATAAATACAGCACTGGATGTAAGCAGATTTTAGACGCAGCAACAATTTCTCACGTATACATGCGCTCTATGCGGAACACACTTGTTTCACGCATCGCTGACCTTCTTGGGCTTCTCTAAGGACCAGTGTTGACCTTGTGTCTGAGAGGCAAACATGAGCACCATCAGCTTGGTAGAATAAGGTGCTTACGGTGTGCACAATGAGAGTTATTGTGCTGACTTAAGACATCGTCACGAGACGACGATAATATGCTATGCTGTTATCTCCGTTATCATTGAAAACTGGGTCAAGAAGTCTTACGAGTGACATAGGCAATTTAAATTTCTTTATAGCTTCCGCTATCAACATCCTGTTTTGATTATTTGCACAGGACGTTTCATCACAGAATGCTTTTAGTACCAACATTTTATCATTAACTGTGGGTTGATTAGTTTAATCTTTAATCTACTTGAGAGTTTCTTTTATCTGACGCTCTTTCCATATATTCATCAGAGGGGTGCACAGCACGCATGAAGACGTCAATTTGATTCCTACACTTATAGAAGATGTTCTACTTCCATCTAGGATGGGTCCCTAGCATCCCAAAAGAGACAGACAGTCGCTTGCCTCCTAAATAAGGCCTATTTTTATTTTATAACTAATTTACATATGTATAATTTGTGAGGCATTTCGTTGCATGTATACGGTAAAGTTAGTGTTAAAAAGAAACAATTCAAGTACACAGTTCATTTCCCCTTTTGGAGTCGGACTTACACGAAACTAACCATGTTTGATCATTACCCTCATGCGTATGCCCGTGCATGCATGTCCTTTCCTCTTCACTAAATCCTCTGTTGGACCAGCTTTGCATTAGCATATTATGCTTATACGTGGATACCGTGACTGTGCTGATGGGGAGGATTTTTTAAACCTGCGTCTACACAAAGGCGAGAGAGAGATAATGGAAAAGATACAGAGAAAAATAGAAGGAATTCATTCAATGAAATGAAATTTGAAGCGAGCATTGTCACAGAGAGAACGAGTGGAAGTAGATACCGGAGACCCGGAGATGAATAATGTTATGACGTGTTTTGTTTCGCCACTTATGTGTTTTGTTACACGATAGTGACTTAGCTGCATATTATGTCTATGTGCGGTACGTTGGCTCGTGGTGTCATCTGCATCATCAGTTGTAATTGTTACTAATTTGTGTTCCATCACCACACCCTCTATTCTGATGTGGCTCTTGAAATTTGGATGACGTTATTTATGAAAGAATGTTTCTGATATAATATCGTCTCCCTCACTATCGAATGCCGTGTACTAAGCAATGAAACGCTTGAAGCAGACACGAATGCTAAACAGCACGTCTGTTATAGAAGAAACGAAAACGCAGCTACTACCCGACACAACTACAACAGTAACTACAGCAACAGCAGTCAACCGATGTTATCTGACGATCAGATAGCATGTTTCTCTTGACAAAACTTTCAGAAAACAGAACAAACATCAACTCCAACTAGAATCACAGTGTTTATAGCAGCACATGTTAAATTTTACAAAATATTATGTTTTCAAAAGAAGTTGCTGTCATCTTACTTTCCAAAGGTCTATCTACATCTCACAGATTTGTCCTGGAACAAACAAAAAGACACATCTGACTCCACGACAAAGGATTAAGAAGATCAAACAATCATGCAGAACGGATTCGACTACGGACCAAACGGCCTGCCCTCCCCAGGCATCCATGCTCAACTTAGTCCACCCAGTCAGCTGCCCCGGATGGCGGAGGATCAGCTGAAGACGCTGGAGAGAAATTTCCATAGCAACAGGAACCCCTCTGACCTTGACATTACACTCATTGCAGCGGAAGTTGGCTTATCAGAGTCAGCAGTCAAGGTAAGCATGAGTTTCAAAATAGGACCTTCAATAAAACCACGTATTGTAACTTTTTGTCAGTGACTATCTACCTCCACCCACTAGCCCCCACCCCTCACCCCCACCCCGTTAACAAGATGTGCTACTCATGTCATTATGCTATAAACAATATATATCTAGCGTAGAAGATTATTTCAATTAGAATCTTAGTGTTTGTCTTCCTTTAAAAAAGCCATCAAAACTCAGTGAAATTGTCCGCTTTCAGAAATATGTGCGCGCAGTGTATGTGTAGAATAACAGTACAAACCCCCCCCCC